GAAAAAAAAAAAAAAAAAAAAAAACTGATTATAGCAAGAATTCTAATGGAATTAAAGTTTTAGGGCCTCAATAAATAATAGCTCTTCTCTTGAATTTGTAAACAGACAGGTGGAGTTGGCAAGATCTGCTTCCTTACTACAGAGCTGACTGGACATAGTGCTTTCAGTGGGAGACCAAAAATGAGTACTAGAACTTCCTTCCCCTTTTTAGCTCCACTCCCTTTCTCAGAACCTAGACTTTAGTCCAGTGAGAGAAAATTTCAGTTTAAAGAACAGATGCACTTACTCAGAATTGCTGGTCTGTATGATCTAGGGCAGAGAGGGGAGATAAAGAAGATAAACCCCTAGTGTTTACAGGTTTATAACAGGTTATCTCTACCCATTGGAATAATATGGACCAAAGGATTTCAGCTACGGATCATGTAACTCCCCTGTTGGGAAGCTGTGAATACAGAGTGGGATCTGAGGCCAGGACTGTTAATCTAGTGCTCTGGTTTTTCATCCTGGAGTGTAACTCTGGGCCATTTGAAATATGTGGAGGTGTTATTAAATTATTATGATATCTTTTAAAGCTACTGGCTTTTAGGACCCTGACATTTAAGGATACTGAATATCGTATAATGTAGAGGTCCACCAGCTCAATGAAAGCTTTCCTTCCCCTACTCCAACGCCAAAATCATCTCCAGACTATTCCAGTGGAAGTTCCTCCATATAGAAACATGAAACTAGGCCAAATTTCACCCTAGTCTTTGTTCATATGTACCATGTTTTTTTCTTTCTTTTTATTTTTTTTTAATTGAAGTGTAGTTGATTTACAATATTGTATTAGTTTTAGGTTTACAACAGAGTGATTCAAAATTTTTATAGATTATACTCCATTTAATGTTATTATAAAATATTAGCTATATTTCCTGTGCTGTACAATATATCCTTGTGGCATATTTATTTTATACATAGTAGTTTATACCACTTAGTCCTCTATCCCTATCATGCCCCTACCTCTTCCAATCTCCCCACTGGTAACCACTAGTTTGTTCTCTGTGAATCTGTTTCATTATATTCATTTGTTTGTTTTATTTTTTTGACTCCACATGTAAGTGGTAATTTACAGTATTTGTCTTTATTTGTCTGACTTATTTCACTAAGCATAATACCCTCTAGGCCCATTCATGTTGTCACAAATGGAAAGATTTCATTCTTTTTATGGCTGAGTAATATTCCATTGTATGTATACACACCACATCTTCTTTATCCATTCATCTATTGAGTATCTACCATGTTTTTGATATCAATAGATTTGACTCTAAATGTGAAGGTCTTAATAAAAACACTGCTTAGAATGTAGTTATTTTTTGATATTCTCTCAGAATGACTAAAATTACATTAATGGAAAATAGCAATACATAGTTCATCATATTTAATATCCTTAAGACTGAATATATCCTTACTGAATATATAAGAATCATAGGCTCCTAGAGCTAAAT